CACGCTCCGCCTGGAACGGCCGCTCTACGCCGGGGTCCCCACCGCCGGGGTCCCCACCGCCGGGGGCGGGGCTCGGAGCACCAGGACCGTCCTGGGCCTCCACTGCGGGCCGTGAGCTGCCTGACAAGTCCCTACTCCCCAAACAGCCCCTTATCAGCTTCAGGGAGGCAGCACGCCCACAGCTTCCCCCACCCCTGAGGCTCAGAGCCCAATTTCACAGCTCACGAGAGAAAGTTCTGGAGACAGAGTGTGTGCGGGTGCCCGTGGTGCAGCCCCTGCCGCCTCGTCACCGAGGAAGGGGGCCTCCTTGGGTGGCAACGAGGCCCGCCCTTCGGGTTCCGGCTCACCACGAGTCGCGTTGGGTCTAGGCGTCCATCTTCGCCCCCGGGCGCCGGGGGGCCTGGATTCCATCTCCACCCCCAGGAAGCTTCCGCTTCTCCTGCTTTTAACAACCGACCTCATCACCGATCGAAGAAGGGAAGACGCTTCCACACGCCAAGCGACCACACACCACTTTAATGATGGCCCCTAATGCCAGGGACACAGAGGGGACCTGCCCCCCACAGCCTCAGCTCCTGGAGGCAGTTTGGCTGTCCGTGTCCAAACACCTTGCAAATGTGCAAAAGGTCACCCACAGAAACTGTGCACAGGGTCCCCTGCTCGTGCCCTCCGGCCAGGAGGCGCTCACACGGCAGCACATGCAGCGACGTGGGGGTCAGGTCACCCCACTGCCTGGGCTGGAGCACCGGAGGACCCCCCCCTTCCAGGCCTTTCTCTGCCTCTCTGCGCAGCAGAAGGGCTTGAATTTTTCCCAGCAAATGAGAGAGAGCAGTGGGCCGTATGTCCCCCTAGTGAAGGACACTGCCCGCTGCCCGAGGTGCCGGCGATCGCTTTATCAATCGTGCCCAGGGGACGACGGAGAGGAGGCCGGGGCTGCGCCCCCCGACGAAGCCGAGGACCAAGGCCGCCATGCACCTCACAGGGGTAATCCCACAAGCCTTGAATTGCAGTTTAATTTGAAAACTAATTCAGCCCCATAATTGGCTTTCTGCTCAAATCACTGAGGCTCAAGATTTAAATTCTTAATATTCAGATGACTTTCGAGCATCTGTGCCATCTGCGCACGAGTCCATGGCATCCATCTCGGGGTCCTCCGCCGGCACGGAAATGAGATAAATAAATAAAGGGGCCCCACTAACGGAACCACCGCGTTAAGCACAGGCCCTGCGCCCCGGAGAGGGGGGGTTTCCTTCACTTCATTTGCTGCATGTGGGTTTCTCTGCTGCTTAATATTTTAAAGTGACATTAATTTCAAAATTTATAGTGTAGGTCCTCACGCACTTACAAGGAGTGAGGAAAGCAGGAATTCCAATTAGAGCCTTGATTGATTCTTAAAAAATAACCAATACGGAGGTGTCTTTTCTCGGGAGGTTTGGGACGCGCGGTGAGGCCAGTCCGGGCTGGGGCTGGGGGTGGCCGTCCCCGTGTCCATCGGGGTGGACTGCAGGCCGGCACACGGGCGGAAGGCTGGTCCGGCGGCGAGGATGTCATCCTGAGCCCTGGAGCTCCAGGAAGCAGACCCAGACATGTTCCCAGGTGTGATTTATGCCCCAGAGCCCCAGGGGCTGGGCTGAGGCTGGGCCCTCACCGGACGCCTCTCGCCCGGTGGGGCAGACAGACAGGCTTCCCCCGGGCATCGGGTGCACGGCACCCATGAGAGGCGAGGATTTCAAGGGCACGTGACCCGGAGGAGGCGAAGGAGCCAGGGTCCTAGAGACTTGAGGGGGCGCGGGAATGCAGGCTGGGGCGTGGCACACGCACAGGCCCCAGGGCAGGAGGGGCCGTCCGTCCCCATGGCCTGGGCCCTAGGGTGGCACCCTGCGCCGTTTGTCCGCAGGCGCAGATTTCTTGCTTCCTCAAGTGGACGATGGGCCCCTTGAGGGCGGGGTTCACGCCTTCCCATCCTGGAGGAAGACACGCACGCGCACAGGCCAAGCCTGCCGTCTGCACGCCTTCCTCCCGCCTGAGGGCGAACGTGATGCTCCGAGGCGCGGCAGCCATGCCGTGAGCAGGCGGCCAGAAATGAGGGGCGAGCGCACCACAGCGGTGCCGCCCGACGGCTCTGAGCTCTCGCCCCAGCCTTACTGGGCGAGCCGGCTTCCCTGTGCCTGTGGCCACATGCGTTCCCGACCCGTGCCAGGGAGACGAGGCTGTTCAGAACAAAGGTTAGAACCGCGGCTCGGGAGCCAGACCACCTGGTTTAGAATCTCGCCTGCACCGGCTACGAGCTGTGCGTCTTTGCTCACCTGTCGCATACCTAGGGTCCCTTGTTTCCAACGTGGGGGAGATGGAGATGCCTGTCTCATAGGGTTGTTTCAGGGTTCAGTAGGCTGATGCGGAGGGGCCACCTGGCAGCACGCAGTAGGTGCCAGCGGCTGTGTTCCGTGATGATGGCATAGGCACATCTTCAGCGGAAGCTGCACCCTTTGCCCGGTGAGCCAGCTGGGCCCTCGGAGCCGGGAAGAGGCCTGTCCCTTGAAGGCACAGAGCCCCCGTCCAGCCCCATCCAGCCCAGTCCTGTTTAATGTCCCCTGCTCTTTTCAAAGAGGTCAAGTTCACAGGAGCAGCAGGCAGCCGTAAAGACCAGCTGGACACGGCGGGACAGCGGCCCACTGCAGGCCGACAGGCCCGGAGGGCGGAGGGCGCTCGCTTCTGGCGAAGACGCCTCGACCTGCGGCAGCGAGGTGCCTCTGTGCCTCGGCGGGCCTCCCAGGGTCTCGGGGTCCACCCGATGACACCCCAGGCCGGGGCCTGGCTCCGGGCACATGCTCCAGGGGACAGTGGCCGCAGTGGCCTGCTCAGCTTGCAGCCGACACCGCACTGCAGCCCCACCCTGCCCGTTTCTGCGCTTCCCCCCGAGTCACTTCCACAGGCCCCTCCTGCCCCTCCGGGAACAGCCCTCTGCTGCTAAGAGCTCACAGGCCCCTGGGGGCCCAGGGCCCGGCTGGCCCCAGAGGGCAGGAGCCCAGAGGCCCGGCCTTCAGCTGAACGCTGAATCCTGCCCTTGCCGGCATCTTTCCCCATCCAGATGCCTCCTGTGGACAAGCAGGTCCCTACTGAGCTGCCTGTCCCCTATCCTCCCTCAGTGCAGGGGACTGGACTTCAGGCTCTCACGGTCCTACCCAGGCCAGACAACTGCCACCATTCTGACTCGGCCAACTGGAGTTCGTGATAATTCACAAAGCTGCGATGGGGTGCTCACCTAAGGGGCGGGCACAGCAGGTGCGGGACACGGGTCAGGCTGGAGGTCCAGGCGGGCTCTGCAGAAAGGGCGGAGGTCCGAGGGGTGGGGTGGTACGCGCACCAGAATGACGGAGCCCCCGAACGGGCGACACCCCCACAGCCCCGCCTGGGAGCGGACATGACGGAGCCCCCGAACGGGCGACGCCCCCACAGCCCCGCCTGGGAGCGGACACACCTCTGCCTTTGCTCTCAGTCCCTGGGCAGCAAGCACATGGGGTCTCCAGGTGGCCCCGGTGGCCTGCCAGCTCCCCACTGAGGATTCGGGACGATCCAAGAGGGGGCAGATGCTCCCTGGGGTCAGGAGGGGTCGCTCTTATGACCATTGGCTTCAGATGGCCCCGTCTGAGTGGGTGGGGACCACCAAAATCACCCAGAAAAACCGGCTGCCCAACATGGTAGCTCGTGGGCACACGGGGCTGTGCAAACCCGACAGATTAGAAATTCATCTCCTCTGCTGCACTGGCCACACCTCAGATGCTCAATGGCCACGAGGGGCTGGTGGCCACTGCATCAGACAACCTAGGTGCAGACAGAAAGTTCCAGAAAGTTCCAGTGGGTGGCAGGGTCCAGGCCAACGGCACCCCCAGTGCGGCCGCGCCTTTGCAGGTGTGCTGCGTGAGCTGCCAGGTGGGCCTGGCATCTAGCTCCTTTTTCTGGGGCCACCATCTGGTTTTCTCTTGGGGGTCCACAGCGGCCACGTGTTTAGACCCCGTGACTTGGGGTGGGGTGCAGACCTGGACCCCGTCTTTGCTCACGGTGTGCCCGGGCAAGGCACTGGCTCCGTGCATGCCCACGGCCCATGCCATGAGGATCTGCCTCGGGGTCTTGCTGGCACTTGAGGAAGAGGGGACTGTCTACTGCTCAGGGACCTGCAGCTGCCGCGGCGTCCCGGCCACAGAGAGAGCAGCCCAGAAACGAACCGGCACAGAGGACACAGCCAAACAGTGGCCAGCAAGATGCCGGACGGTCCCGTTCCAGCCCGGGGTCGACACGCCCACCTCTGCACCTCCCAGTCACGTGAGCCAGTGCGCCCCCCTCCCAGGGGCCTCGGAGGTGGCCCTGGCCACCTGCTTACCAGACATCTAAGGGCTGTGACCGGAGGTGAGGGTACACTCGACTCCGGCCCACAATGCTGGTCGCTCCCGCAAAGGGGCTGGGCCGTTCCAGGCCGTTCCAGGCCGCCCACCCCCTCCGAGCCTGCTGTTCCAGTCAGAGGGTCTCACGGCCCTGGGGAGGGCACCGGGGCCCCTGGGCGGCTTGCTAACGTCCCCACAGGAACCACCTCGCCTCTCGGAGGTTCTCGTCTAGTTGATTGGATAATTGACACATCTTCCCATGTGTTTTCCATTAGGACGTACACCTGAAACCCTTCATCAGTCAGTCATTCCAGAGAACCGATTTCCGGCGCTGGTTTCTCCCTGCTGCGTGCAGGCGCCCGCTAAACCCGTGGCTGTGATTTGCGGGGCGGGAGAGGCTGCTCCCAGCCCTGGGGTTCCCTGTGGACAGCGCCACGGCTCGCTCTGTCTGGACGTCACCCCCTGGCTTGGGCCGTGGTGAGCGAGGACGTTGAGCCGAGTCCAGGGCGGCATCTCACAGCTCACGAAGAGGTGGCACTGCCGCTCCTCTCTGGGGGCGACTCTGGGGCCAAAGCCACACTCCGGGGTGCCCCGGAAGCTCCGGAAGCCAGTCGCGCTTAATGCCCGCACACTCTGGAGGAGCGGGAGGCGGGGCCGATCTCGGATCCGTGGCGTGCTCCAGCCCGTCCGGGCCGCGGCCATCCTCCCACACGGCCGTCTGGGGCGAGCTGACGAGGGGACGGCAGGTGCTCTCCACGTCCAGGCTTAAGGGCTTATCGGGATTTGTGGGAGGAGACGCGGAGATTTGCGGCTTCTGTCATCCTGACGAGTAAAGCCAGTGACACGCTGGAAAAGACTTTCTCGATCGATTTGTTTTTAAAATGAGATGAGGGAGGAGGCTGGGTCCGTGAGAGGGAAACCAGACACCTGTACGCAGCCCCCGGCTCTGGGGAGCGGGGCCCCCAGCGTCTGTGTTACCGAGAAGGCCCCCCGCAGCGTCTGTGTTACCGAGAAGGCCCCCCGCAGCCCTCTACCCACTCGCCCACCCCACAAAGGGGCTGCGGGACCCGCCGCCCCAGGTTCCGGCAGAAATAATGTCACATCCCGTTCCCTCCGCTGACACGGGGCTGCCCCGCGCCTCACGATTCTGAGACAATCGATCTGAAACACAATTCACCTTGTTGAAATAGCCGCCCCTGGGGACGGAGCTGTGACAACCACCTCGCTGAAGAGTGATGACAAATGTGTCCTCGATGCCCTGGAGCACAGCTGGAGCGTGGCTGACCCCTCCGTGGGGCCGGCCTGAGCCTGGACTCTGTGGGCTGGGCTTTCAGCGTGCCCAGTCCATCCTTCTCGGAGCCCCGAGGCCCTCCGGGGCTGGGCTGCCTGGGGAGGAAGGTCAGGCCCACCAGCGACGTGGCTTTGCCACGGGCACGTCCCAGCAGCACGGGGCAAACGGGCGTGAATGGCTCAGCGCGTCTCCGAGCTTCGGCTGAGGCCCGCGTTCCACGTGGCTGGCTCCTCTGACCGCCCCACAGGGCCTGGCCAGTGACCCTCGGCCCCGCTGCCCCATCCAACCCAAGGAGGGCATTAGTCTCAAGGACACCCCCTCAGGAGACAGCAATGTGGGGCTGTGTTTCTCAGACTTGGGCACAGAAATGCCCCAGGGGCTGGTCCGCCCAGGCCCGGGCCTACCCGCAGAGTCTGGATCAGCGGGGGGCCCGAGAGACTGCATTTGTGACCTGTCCCCAGGCGACGCGGCCGGCCCCTGGGCCAAGGTTCCCGCCTTGGCTGGGTTTTGGCCCATGCTGCGGGGTCTGGGGATCTGGGGCGCTTGCAACCCCCTCTGGGGGGTCACCTTTGCTCTGTGACTTTGTGGTCACGGAATCCAGAGACCAGACACGCCATGCACTGAGCGAGGGCCCTGGCACGTGGTGAAGGGTTCGTCATCACTGACGCTGGGTGGAGTCTGGGGAGACGGACCCTTGGGTCAGCCCCGGGGCCTGGGCTGCACAGCTAGCCTCGCCGTGCTGTGAGCGCCTGGGCCTCCCTTGGGCTTCCCGCGGAGCGCGGAGTGAAATCCAGCGGCCGGGCGACCGTGAACGGCGGGCCTCCCTGACCTCGTCTCCCGCCCAGGGCCCCTGCACGCGCCTCTCCCCCGGCTCCCCTCCGCCCCTCCCTGAGCACCGCTCCGTCTCACATGCCAGTCTCGGACGACGTGTCACCTCCACGGGGCCGTGACTCAGCGCCCGTGCTTTCCGCCTGAGCCTCCCACCATGCGACGGCCCCCCCACTGGCTTCCGCTCATCCTGCCTGCGCCCCCATCGGGACCGCGGTGTCTGTCTGGACCCTGGAGTCCCCATCTGGACCACAGTGTCCCCATCTGGACCGCGGTGGCCCCGCTCGTCTCATGCTGTGGGTGCTCGGTAAACCGGGACCGCGGTGTCTGTCTGGACCCTGGAGTCCCCGTCTGGGCTACGGTGTCCCTGTCTGGACCCTGGAGTCCTGTCTGGACTGCGGTGTCCCCATCTGGACCGCGGTGGCCCTGCTTGTCTGGCCCCGCTCGTCTCATGCCGTGGGTGCTCGGTAAATGCCTGCTGAGTCGATGTGCCAGTGTGGGGTCCCACGGGCTGTCTGGGCGGTGGGGGCTGAGGGCCCCCGGAAGCCGGGCCTGTCCCCGGCCCGCGCCCACCGCACCATCAGGCGGGGCTCACCTGGCTTGGAGCCCTCGTCCACGGAGCCGTTGTAGACCTGGCTGAGGAACTCCGGCCGGTTGTCGTTCATGTCGATGACGTAGATGTACAGGTCGATGGGGTTCTCCACCTTGTTGCCGTTCATGTCCACGGCGTGGGCTCTGAGCTGGAAAGCAACACGGCTGTCAGGGGCTGCGACACGGCTGGGGACACTCCCGACGGCCAGAGCAAGTTCCCTCGGACCTGCAGCCCAGGGTGGGGTGACAGCTCCGGGCCCCCAAGGGACAGGCTAGGTGCTGGGGACTCGTCACGAAGCTGCTCCGAGCCTTGGCTCTCTCTGTGGCGATGAGGACAAAGCGGGTGGCATGCAGGTGACGACCCGGAGGCCTGAAGCCGATGCCCATCCAGGACCCTCGGCCAGCTCTGACCACTGATGGTGAGGCACACGGCCACCCACAGTGGCCACAGAAAAGCCCTTTGTGTCAACTGGGGGCTTAAACTCCTGCTACTGCGAGCTCAGGCCGGGGGGAGGCCTAGACCATGGATGCCTTGACCTTGGACCGGGCCAGGGTCCACTTGGGCGCCCACTATGAGTCCACCCGTTAGGACTTCATGGGGAGACGGCCGACACATGCTCAGACTCGCCTGTTCCGGGGGCACCGTGAGGAAGACGGAGCGGAAGCCCCCGCTCTGCTGGGGAGGGGCTCGGGGGGCTCGCGGGGGACCAGCTCGAGGCCCGGAGGGAGCACAGCTCAAGGCCCGGAGGGAGCACGGCTCAACGTCCGGAGGGAGCACAGCTCGAGGCCCGGAGGGAGCACAGCTCGAGGCCCGGAGGGAGCACGGCTCCTCTCTGTGGCGATGAGGACAAAGCGGGTGGCATGCAGGTGACGACCCGGAGGCCTGAAGCCGATGCCCATCCAGGACCCTCGGCCAGCTCTGACCACTGATGGTGAGGCACACGGCCACCCACAGTGGCCACAGAAAAGCCCTTTGTGTCAACTGGGGGCTTAAACTCCTGCTACTGCGAGCTCAGGCCGGGGGGAGGCCTAGACCATGGATGCCTTGACCTTGGACCGGGCCAGGGTCCACTTGGGCGCCCACTATGAGTCCACCCCGTTAGGACTTCATGCTCAGACTCGCTTGTTCCGGGGGCACCGTGAGGAAGACGGAGCGGAAGCCCCCGCTCTGCTGGGGAGGGGCTCGGGGGGCGCGCGGGGGACCAGCTCGAGGCCCGGAGGGAGCACAGCTCGAGGCATGGAGGGAGCACTCCTTGCGCTGGGCCCCAGGGGCTGTTCACCCCTAAGTTTTGCACTTTTTCTTCCGTTTGCTCATTCATTCACTCGCTCGTTCATTCATTCAGTCGCTCAGCGTCTACCAAGGGCCCACTGGTGCCGCTCGGCGAGACGCCCGTGGCCGGCCCGGGGCTTCGCGTCCAGGAGGACATGGACGTGAAGGAGAAAAGGGGCGAGACACGCCTTGGCTGATGGCAGTGACCCGCGGGCAGGGAGGAGGCCAGGCGGGCCTCGGAAGCAGTGGCCAGCGAGCCGGGATGGGACGAAGGGGGTGGGGCCGGCAAGCGTGGAGGCCCCCACGGGGGACACAGAGAGGTCGAGCCCCACGGTCAGCAGAGGGTCCTGGGATTTAGAGGGAAAACCCCAGGAGAGGAAAGAGATGTGCTGGGGACTCTCCGCGCCACAGCCGTGACTGTCACAGCCGCGTCCCAGCCCACAGCGCTCCGTCAAAACCACGCTGCCCTCCGAGCCACACATGGGACCTCGGAGTCTGTGTGATAAGACAGCGCCCAGGCCGGGGGCGGAGGCCAGCCCGGGCTCGAGCCGGCCGGCGGGGAGGGTGCCGTGGCGTGTCGGGGCTCCACACAGTGCTCCACTGTGCCTCCGGGGCTCGTCACCGCCACTCTGCCGGCCTCTGGGAGAAGGGGAGGGAGGCGGCACCCACGCCTGCGGGTGGGGACCTGGCCGTGTGCACCCCGGCCTCAGCACGCTGGCCCCATTCCGACAGCCCTGAGAGCACTTTGCCCCTGAAATGTGTGTTTTGGGGGACTCTCAGGCTGGCTGTACCCGAGGAGGTGACCTGAGTTATTGTGAGGAGACAAATGGGGCCGACGCCCGGGGACCCCGAAGCCCGCGACGCAGGGCGTGACCGCGCACACGCGTCAGACGGGTGTGAAGCATCGTGTGACAAAGTCGTGACATGTTGCACTGTGGTTTTAACCAGCTGCCCCACCCCAGCTGACATCAGGTCCTCGTCCCCCGGACCCTGGTCTGTGCCCCGTCTGACTGGCTGGTGGCCGGGTGACCCGTCACCTTGTCAAACGCAGCAGAGCGATAACACGCCAAGTCGAAGGTCGAGAAGCCTTTGAAAAAAGTGACTCTGAGCTAGAGCTGGAGTTATTATCGTCTAGCCTAAGTGACAGCGTCGGCTTCGGTGCCATCGGCAGCAGCAGGAGCAGCCCGAGCGGAGACAGTGAGAGGGGACAAAGCGGCCTGGCTGTCGGAATCTTCCTCGTCCCCGCCGTCCGTCCGTCCGTCCATCCCCGGGCTGGGTGCGGCACTGCGGGCTTGCGGGGGGGGGGTCTCCACTTGGGCTGGAGACAAGGAAGGCCACCGCGGGAGCCATCGGGCTCTGTGACCCGCAAACCCGAGCGTCCCACACGAAGCGATCGCCCGCGGTGCTCTGAATGGACGCTTCTCTGTTCTCGTCCTGGGAAGGCCGACGGGCTTGGTCTCGGTGGCAGTGGGCGCGATGCCTGCAGCTGGCCGGCGGCGGTGGGCCGTGCGGGCCCTCGGCCTCCCCTCTGGTCTCTGCCCGTCTCTGCTTCGTCCCGGCGGTCTGGAGGGTCCCTCCCCAGCGTGCGGAACCCGGACACGCCCGCGGGCCCTCGATGTCGCCCACGGTGGACTCGAGATTTTCTTCCACTGACACCAGTGGCCGACATGTGCCACACGCTGGCTCTGCTGGGCAGTGTCCCAGGAGCTCGACACGCACAAACTCCCCTCGAATTCCACAAGAACCCGTGAGATTGTTTCTCCCCCGAATCCCTATCTCATGGCAGGGGAACCGAGGCTCGGGAAGATCAGGGAACTTGCCAGCAGCGGGGGTGTGCGCCAGGGCTCAACAGCGTGTCTTATTTATGAAACCTGTAAAAGAATCTTCGAGAGAACTGTCGTGCGAAGCACACGATGCCATCCGTTTTCTCCGCGCGTCTGAGTGTCTGCATGCTGGTGCCTCGTGGTGGCCAGTGTCCTCTGCTCACTGGCTTGTTCTCGGGTGAGAGATGCTGCTTTGCCAGCAGCCACCTCGTTGGCCGAGGAGCTGGGGGACACGGGGCAGGAGGAAACGGCACGTGGGGACTCCAAATGGCCCCAAGGATGTGGGGTGCTGACCCCCTGGTGTGAACGCAATGGGTGTCACCCGTAGTCGGGTTACGTTCTGTGGCGTGGCTGACCCTAAGCCACGGAGGCAACGTGGGTGGAGTGAGTCAGTGTCCTGGCTCTAGAATCAGTGACTTACCCAGATGGTGGCTGGAGAGCGAGTCGGGGACTGGGAACGCCCTTTAGGGGTGAGAGTGGCCCCTGGCCAACAGCCAGCGAGGACTGGGGACCTGGACCTGTGACAACCCGAGTGAGCAGGAAGCAGACCCCCAGAGCCTGTAGTAGGCGCCTGGGCCGGCGACACCTTGGTTCTGCCCTGCGAGACCCTGGGCGGAGCCCATCCGGCTGCTCACCCGCAGAGCTGGGCTGAGGCGCGGGCGTGGTTTCAGGCCACTGTGTGTGCCTGTCACACGGCAGAGGTGACGCACACCCGCTGCCTGGCACAGCTGTCCCCAAACGCCGTGATGGGCGTCCTGTGCGGTGGACGCCAGAGCAGGGATCGTGCTGGAGTCTTACGAGGAGCGTGATGACCCCCATAACCCAGGGCTGGGGAGTCCCTGTCCTTTTACCGCTGCGTCCCCCAAGTTCTTGGCTTCCCTCGTCCAGCTTGGCTGAGGGGTGGGGTCTGCATAGGACCAGGGTCCTTCTGGGGACCATGGCTTTCCATCCAGGCTGGGCATGTGAACCGTCTCCCTAGGGACTGCCAGCCCGTGACCCCTCGCTTTTCTAGGGGGGCTTCTGCAGGACCGTCTAGCTGCAGAGGCACCGCTCACTTCCGGGCAGAGCCTGGAGCTCAGTGAGGCTTGGGGGTCACATCAGGCCAGAACACAGAGACGCAGGCGTCTGACGAGCACGGTGGGGCTGGACTTCCCCACGAGATGCCAGCGCCGACGAGGTAATCGGGTGGACCGACAATGCCCTGCGGGACCCTGTGAGTGAGCAGGGCAGGTGGTGCTGGACCCTGGAGGCCATCCTGGCCTCCGGACCTCCCCTCGCACCCTGGTCTTCCTGCCGTGGGCTGTGAGGCCAGCGGGGCTGCAGGCTGTTCCGGAAGCTTCCATGTGCACGGAGCAGGCACCGCCTCTCCATGGTCCCAGGGGCCCTGGCCCTCGGCCAGACGGGTGGCACCAACACCAGTTATGCCCGGTGGGCGGCAGGAGGGCTGAGCCCACAGCCCCCTTTGGGGAGTCGGTGAGAATGCCCTCCGGAGAAAGTTGACCAGAAGCACCAAAAATAGGTCTAGTCTTGAGCTCAAAGTTTCCGAGAAGTAATTACAATAAAATGAAAGGAAGAGGCCTTTCCGCTTGGCGTGGGCTCTCTCGGGACAGCTCTGCATTCGGCACGCGCTGGGGCCCGTCCGCCGTCACAGGCTTGACTGACAGTCACTCTGTCCCTCTGGGTGGTCCCAGACACTGTGTCTGACCGGCACCTGCCAGGCCCCGGCTCCCCAGGCCATGCGTGCCGTGATGCCGCGTGTGGACAGGCCGGTCGCCTGCTGCAGCGTGCTCTGATGGGAAAATCTTAGCTAGACATACACGGTGCCGGGACCCTGAGCGACGGCTCGAGGGCTGGTCCACGGTCAGTCCCGAGAGACCGCGTCTCTCTGCCGTCTGCGGGCCCAGTGCCCCTGCCTCCCTCTCTGTCTCCCTCCCTTATCCCCTGTCCACACGCGTCTGAGGGCAGACAAGGGAGGCTGGCTTGGCCACGGGCCGTGCTGTGGACACGTGTTGGCGGAGCCCACGGCCACGCTAAGATGAGTTTCCTGCCGCACGCTGGCTGGTTGAACGTGGTGCAGCTTCAGTTGTCTAGCGGGTTCTGTGCACCTGTCGACCTGCTCGCTGTAGGCTGAGGACTTGTTGGGACATCCCAAACCACTGTCAATCAGCTGTCCTCTCCCGGAGCCTGGCACCTCAACATCCCAGCGAGAAACCAAGGAAGGAGTCAGGTCCTCCAGCCTGGGGCAGAGGGTGGGGCCAAGGCTCAGCAGAGGGTGGGGCCGAAGCTCGGTGGCCAGGAGGGAGGAGGGCGCTTTCTCTGCAGCCTGATAACTAAAAACGAACCCGTCTGATCTTGATGAGTGGACTCGACTGGCAAGGGGCTCCCGTGCGCTGGTCAAGGCGGTCCCTAATGAGGGACAGGGACTGCCTGGGCGGGGGCACATGACCAGAGTTGCTGTGTAGAGACCCGGAGCTGTGCAGTCTGGAAGGGGGGCAGCCCTCTACCCCCTCCAATCGTCTCTTCTCATTCAGTTCGTCCCCGCCCCCTCCCGCGAAGGATCCATCTAGACCTGGAACAACGCATTCTAGAAGGGCCTGTGCCCCTGGGAGGGAGGGCAGACCGCAAGGAAGGGGAGAAGAGGCGGCCTGAGAGGCTGAGTGAGTGCCCAGGTCCCCCTGGGGCCGTGGGCAGGCTTGGCCCCTGGGGTCTGGCTCCAGCCCTGTCCCAGCAGAGGGAGGGGCTGGCCTGTGTGCATTGGGGGAATCGGGCCCGGAGCACTGCGGGTCCCCGCCCCGGACGCCCTCCCCTTAGCCAGCAGGGCCGCGAGGGGCAGAGCAAGGCGTGGACGGCCCTCTAAGCGGTCATCTTCCACCCTCTTTCCTCTCGGGACCCCGCCCGGAAAGGCTGCGGTGCGTGTCCCGCCGGGGAGCTCGTCCCCAGGTGCGTACGCGGCGGCCACGCGCCCTGGGGTGGTCTTGGGGTGGTCCCTGTCCCCCCGCCCCCGGCCAGGGGCCCGCACTCACGTGGTAGGAGGCTCGCTCCTCGCGGTCCATGGGCCGCGTCACGTACATGCGGCCGGACATGGAGTCGATGCTGAAGACCTCCATGGGCGGCTGGTCCGCGCCCACGCCCGTGACGCTGTAGCGGATGGGGATGTCGTTGTCTTTGTCCGAGCGGATCTGGGGGCAGGAGCAAGGGGAGGGGCGTCAGGCCGTGGCGGTGCTTCGCCCGCTTTGGGAGCCGAGGGCCGGAGTGCGCGGGGATCGGCTTTTATTTTAAGTCATGCATTTATAAACTGAAATTCAGATAAAAGATAGTTTCAAAATAAATTCAGTATATTACTTATGAGTGGAGCAACACATTAGCATTGGGTTCACAATAGATCATATCGCTTTTATTCCATCTTACAAGCTTAGCAGCACAAACAGAATAATCAACATATTATTTGGCTGTCATCTGCTGAACAGAAACCAGAGATCACAAGGAGGTTTTCCCTAGCTGTGGTGATGGCCTTTTTGTTCCAAGCCCCCATCTGGGAGGGCCATGGTGTGTTATCATATGGAACGCGGGGTTTTCTGTAATCTGCTTAGCTGCACTGCAGTTTGAATCTTCATTCCATGTTTGTGTAATTTATAATTTTAATGAGACCATGGCTCTTGTGGGCTTTGACATAT